GGAGAGGGAAGTGCACGGGATTATGGTGATGGCACATGGGTGACTTGGTGATGGGAAACCCGCGGGGATTACAATTGAGATGGAAAAAAAAAATGTACAAAATGATGTAAAAATAAACCGTTATAAAATAAAAAAAAGATATAAAAAAAGTTTGCAAAACATTAAAAAGCACCAAATATCAATTTGTCTTGAATTGAATTTTATGTGGTTTATTTATATCCATTGATGGCACCTGTATTTATTTGTTAATGCAGTTTAGTTTATGTTTCACTTTTAAAGAGCTAGAGAGGACTGGTTCAAAAAAAGGAGTAGATTCTAATCCCATAATTTATAATATGTATTTGCCTTTTGTTTAGTAAGTACATAAATTTTTTCACTCTCAGAATTATCTGATAAATAAATAAGATGATCATATAATTTGTCAACTAAACAGGGACTTTTAAGACTGAAAGGTAATATTAGCAATAATTACAGCAGGGTTTCTGGCATAGATCTTGGATAAACAGGAAGGAGTGGTTAGCCATTACACACACTGGCAGTGGTGGCTCTGGGTGCAGGATGATTTCGTGCATTTCATGTGCTACCTTGAAAGCTGATCAGTTACAGCCTAAAAGTCATTTAGCTTTCTAGGCTGAACTGCGGTTGTTAGACTTCTGTGCCTTCTGGAGCAACCATGTCACCTTACTCTAACTAACATGGGTAAAATGAGTAACTACTTCTATTTATTGTAGTTAGTGAAAGATAAAAGATTACCTGGGCTGTAATTTCAAGTACCTAATCTAACTAGTATTAAGTCGAACCCATCTTTGTCCCAAGAATCTCATCAGTTCTAATTCCTTAGCATCATCCTTTCCTTCCATGATTTATCTGCTGAAACTTTTTCTATGGATAGGTTACAGTTGCAGATAATCTAGAACACTGACCATCTTGGATTAGCATGGATCTAATTATCTCCATATTATTGGAGTAGATTCTCCCTTTTATTTTCCCTTCAACTCCACCCAATCCTTTCCTGATATTTCTCCTCTCCTATTTTTCTTTGCATTTCCAAAGAATATGTTTGGATGATACAACTAAGTTGGCCAGCACATATGTGCAGAAACCTTCACATGTGGAAATAAATAAGGAATCAAATATATTTCAAAGCAGCTTTGGCTTTTCTGATGGATTGTACCATTTGTATTTTTATAGGTATGAAGATCTGATTTTCAAAATAGTACATAGGAGGCAAATCTTTTTTCTTGCTTTTTTTTTTTTCTAGCAGGCAATTTACTAAGTACAAGGCAGGTTTTTCTTCTTTCACACTTAGCTATCGACTGATCTTCTGTTTGTGCAGTCATTGCTGGAGTCTCACTATTTCTGTGTTTCCAGATGAGTCTGGGCCTAACAGGCAGAATTGGGAACAGGGGAAATGATCCTGGTGTGAATTGCGGGGAAGATGGTCTCTAGATCCTCAGCTGTTGCTTTCTTTTCGGTGGGGAGCATACCTAGAAGTATCTGTCCTTTACCAAGTTATTTTTATTAAGGGAGCCAGAGCCACCATTTCAGTGTTGCCAAGCTCAATGGGAACTTCTGTCTTCATTTTTCCTCAACATCTGGCTGCATGAATCACTCCTTCCCTGAAACATTTTCCTTTTGTCTTGCTACATTTTTCAGTTCTCCTTTTTCACTGGCTCTGCTTCAGTTTTCTTTACAGGCACCTCTATCAACATCTCAGAATTTGCAATTGTGAACTGTTCTGTTTTCTTCCTGCCTATATGACTTATTCATAACTAGTTTACAGTCCATAGCTGTATGTCCTGCATACTCTCAAGATTATGTTTCTTGTTTGTGCAGACATCTCTTCTTAGTTTCCAGATTCATATATCTAGAAGATTCCTTGACATCTGTATTTTAACATTTCAAATTTATTATAAGCACAGTTGAAGTGTAGGTCCCTCTGTATGTTCTATTTCTAGTCATTTCTCTACAACAGTCTTAGTTCAGAAACCTGATTCTTCCTTTTCAACAAACGCTGTGGTTGTTCTTTCCAAAGATTATTTTGACTTGCTCCTCTGTCACCTTACCTTCAGCTCTTTCCTGGATTACTCTAGCTTTCATGACTGGTCTCCCAGCTCCCCCTCCCCCCCCCTTGCCTTCATTAATCCATTTTTGGTGCAATGGCAAAGTGGAAAATTAAATTGAAACACATCAGTTCTTCATTTAACACTCTTTTGTGGCTTCTCATTACATTAGTAGTTCTTTAGTATAATCTCATCTCTATTTTCCCAATCTTAACCGTGGGCCTCCCTCACTTGCTCACAACTTTTTCTATGGCAGTGATCTTTAAGTTCCTATAACCCAACCTTTCCCTATTTGCCTCTACCTTGAACATTTGACCCCCAGTTTCTGTAGAAGGGCATCTTCCCATCTTTTATACATTGCTTTAAATCCCATCCTCTTCTTAGACTATATTATCTAAAATACATACTGCCATTGGCCTTCTCTATGCCATTTACTTATTTCTTTCATATTTTTATCACAGCTTGCATTTATTTCATGTGTTTACTTTCTTGTATTTGATCCATCTTCCCCATTAGGGTCTTTGAGGTACAGATTTTACTTCTCTTGTTAGGTTAGTGTGCTGGACTCCTAGCACCTAGCAGACACTTGGGAGTCACTAAATTATGTTCTGAGTGAATTAGGGAAAAGTATGAATCTAATTGTGACCAATTTTATTTATTTTTCGTGGGGCATTAGCATATTTACTTTTCTTATGACAGTGCATTTCATATAAAGAATTAAAAAGCCATCTAAGGTTTCTTCGTAAGAAAGGTTAAGATGAACAAGTTGAAGAGAAGAAGTAACGATACTGTCTCCAATTCCAATTCTAATTTTCAATTCGGGTTTGCTCCCTTCATCACATAAATTCACATTGTATAGATTATCAGTGTGATAACTAGAAAAGTATGTATTTTTAAGCCAGTGGTTGTTGCTATCACTGTGTTGTTTTGTTGATTCAGATTCCTTCATGCTTCCTAGGACTCTCCCTAAAGGACACAAAATCACTAATTCAAAAGGAAACCTGCACTCTCATATTTATTGCACATGCACTGTTTTTTTTTAAATAATATAATAGTGTTGGAGACCAGCTCCCACTATCAAGGTTTCCGGAGGTGAGACAGGCAGGACCCTAATGTGGGAAGGCGTTGGCGAGCAGAGATTCCAAAAGGGGAGAGAGGAGCGGGCACGAGGAAGACACAGGAGTCAGGATTGGGTGCAAGTCTTCCTGCCATTCCTTCAGCAGGTCTTTCTTTATACTGTGTAACAAGTAGCCAATTGCAATAATGCACAGGGCAAGCTAATGAGATATCACCATAACACATTCTCAAGGACAAGGGGAACAAAGCATTCCTCTCTTAACATATTATGGTACACTAGATTATACATTCTTGTGATAATTGTCATGTGACAGCTGTCCAGCTATCACTCAAAGGAAGAGGGGTCTGGGAAAGGATGAGCTCGTTAGCAAAAGGTTATTAGGGGATTTGGGGTAGTAGTAGATTGTGTTAGCAATGTTATCAGTGATTGTCCAAAGAAGAGCTAGTGGCTAATCCAAGGTCAGCAGAGAGCAGCCAGAGCTTGTTTTAAAAAGGAGCAAACCAAGAGAAAGTTGTAACAGTTGTGCATCAAACAACACCTGTGTAATCAAGGCTAAATGTCCATGAGTCCTTATGCCCTGGGAATCTTATCTGCGGTTTGCCTTTTTATTCAAAGAAACCAAGGAAGTGTCCCAGGAGTTTTTTTTTTAAAGATTTATTTTTTTCTTCATATAGAACTGGGGTACAGGCCAGAGATGCGGAGGGTGAGAGGATTCACCAAAGACAAAGCAGGGAGCAGAACAGGCAGATTGACGAAGTACACTGCTGAGGGGAGCAGCGGGTGGGCCAGGAGAGGTCTGCCTCGCCGTGTGGATCTCCTCCGGGGCAGGTGGGAATCGGGAATCGAACTCATGCTGAAGTGGCTTAAGCTTCTTAGTGCTGTGCTTTAACCACTGCGCTACAAGGGAGGGCCAACTTCCCAGGAGTTTTTATGCCCTGGGTCTTATCTCTCCTTGGGCTTGCCTTCTGTCTCAGGAGACAGAGGGATTTCTCGCCCTGGGGCAGCTTGCCTGAACCAGGCAGCTGCTTTAT